AGACCTGTTCACATCAGAGGGAAGGGGATCTTGTCGTAGTTCTTGATGTCCCCATATTTAAGAATTTCACTTACAGCCATGAATGACTAAGTGATTACATTAAGAGAAGAATGTATTAGTGCATAACCCTACATTTATCAGGCTATTTATTACAAACAAACAACCAAGTTCTGAGTCACAGTGGAGCGCAGGAGCAGGGAGGGAGGCTGGCAGTGCTGCCTTTACTGTCTGACAGCCTGAGCAGTGGCTGATGGCCGGGAGCCCCATCCCTGCTGCACAGAGGTGGTTGGGAGCTCCATCCTTGCTGCGCTGCCCAGGCCCCCGCGCCGCTCCCGCCTGTTGCTTCCCGTGCATCTGGGCCTCTCGCTTGGAAGCTGTGGCAAGGTTGGAACAGAGCCCCAGGGCAGCGTCTGGGCTCTCACCTGGACAAGCCTTTAAAGTAAGGAAAGGTTTTAGATGTGTTGGTAGTAAAGCAGAACTAAATTTTGCTTGCTTTCATGTTTTGGCTTGGTGTGTTTTTTAATTACCTAAAATAAAATATGGGTTTAAACAAATCTTTATTCCAATATTGTTTTAACATCTCCACTTTCAGGCTTCTAGAGAAGTGCTGTCAGAAAATAATTTCCACCAGAAAGCTGGGATCAAATACAGAGGTATGGTGTCACTGCAGAAAGCCAGCGCATAGGCTGGAAGGCAGTAAACTCTTAGTTAAACACGGTAGCCCTGAAGTTCGGAACGCTGTCCGGAAAGCTTTGCTGCGCCCCTCAGCTGCGCTCGCTGGCTGCGCGGTGGAGGGAGGAGCGGCCGGTGCCACTGCGAGGTGCAGCCGGTGCCGCCGATCCCGGTCCAGTGGCGCTGCTCCCGGCAGCGAGGAGGCCCCGCAAGCAGACAGAGCAGGACCGGGCTGCCCTCCCCGGCCGTGTCCATGGCTAAAACAAGGACAGTGCTGCTGCTGTTCTGAGAGGCTACGGGTTCTGCCCAAGCAGGCCTGGATTTTGGTGGTGGGTCCTGATGTGTCTAATACACAACAGCGGGGTTGGTACAAGCGGGGTCAGCATGCAACAGGGATGACGGGGGCAGCATTGCCTGGAGAGGGCAGTGGATCCATCCCCTCACGTGCTCCCTATTTCCCGTCAGTCGGTGACTTCAGCCCTCATCTGGGGCTGGAGGAGTCATCGTGCAGTGCTCCTCGCCAAGCTTATCAGCGGCAGGATCCCCGCAGCCAAGCAGCAGAACAGCTTTCCAGCTCTGCTGAGCAACTGGGATGTTAGCTCCCTGTGCATTTGTTTTTCTAAAGGCAAATGTGTCACCCTGCCTTCACATCGCTCAGCATTTTGAAATTTCTGTAATCTGATTTTTTTTCTAATTTAACCTAACAAAATCTTAACTCTACCGGACATTTGAGGCAGTAATAGAATTGTTAGCTGGTATCCTCACTGTCTTTGTTTGCAGTTGTAATTCCTGACCTTGACCTCTTTGTTTTTAAGTCCCTGCTGTTGTATTTTGGCTGGGTACAACAGAACTGGAACCCATGCTCTGAGTTGAGGGAGGAGGGAGGAGAATAATCAGCTTGGGAATTGCAGCAAGGATGGGAAGGATGAACTTTGTCACACAGAAAAGTGTGCTCATTCTGTCCAGCGTGAACATGGGTTCATGGATAAGCTTAGACAAGGTAGTGTGCATCCATCTGTGCAGTTGTAAAACACAATATTCCCTGGCAGAGCTCCCCAACACAACATTTTTCTTCCTCCTTTAATCTCCATGTCTCCACATCCCAATGTGGTTCTCTGTTCCCTTGCCCTCCCGCTGGCGCTCGGGCCTCCAGGCTGAGGACTCTGCCGTGCCAGTGTCTGGCAAACGCAGCATCCTGTTTATCCTGCCGGGGGTGGCAGCTGCTCCGTTTGTAGGAAGTCATCAGCCAAATTTTGCCTTCGCTCACAAATGCTGAGCAGTTCCTTCACTCACTCAGGACTCCAATGGGAGGTACCTTGGTGTCTGTTCAGGGCTCTTAACTATCCGGGCCGGTCCTGCTTTGCTTGGGAACGAATCTGAGCTTGAAAGTCACTGCACCTAAAGCAGCAGTTCCAGAAAGGTGGGAATCTCGCCTTGGTCACTGGTGCCAGCGAGCGGAGCCGGGCCCGGCATGGGACTCCTGCCTTGGTCACTGGTGCCAGCGAGCGGAGCTGGGCCCAGCATGGGGCTCTTGCTGCCGGGCACCTCCCTGTGGGGACGGGTCTGTCCAGACTGGCGGCAGTGCCTCCCAGCGCTCCTCTTGCGGCCGCCAGCTAAGCGTGTCCGGCCTGGCGGCTGCGCAGCAAGGCCACGTACGGTAGTTAGGAACCTCGCGCAGTGAGATGCTGGCCTTCTGGAATCCTCCCTTAATTCTGGACACAAACGGCCAAATTTCTATGTAAGGAATTAATCCACAGTATTGATTAGATTTGTCTTATATCTCATTGTAAATTTATATCCATTTGATTTTAAGACTGATTCCAAACTAGGAGGAATGCTAACAGATCTTAGAACTTAATGAGCATGAACATAGTGAAAATAATTCTTTTAAACTTAAAAAATCTTATATTTACATGCCAAATTTTTAATGATTGTTTCAATAGCAAAAGGAACAGTGCTTAAAGTTGGTATTAGACATTTTGAAATACAAAATAGAGTGGCTTTTCTTAAAAACTACTTTCCCATACTACTTGCAATATTTCTCATCAAATAGAGCTGCAAGATGAAGCAAGCAATATTTCTGCTACAACTAATTTTCCATGGCTTATGCTTTTGGGAATGAAAGTGGCAGTGGGTTTGATGCTGCCTGGATGTGCTGAATCACGGTTGTTCCACTCCCCTGCGCGGTGAAATCGGCCGGGATTTCCTCATCCCCCGCCTCAAAGCCAGGCTCTGTAAGCACGCTCTGTAACGATAAGGGGCAGCTCCACTCTGATATTGATGAAAATGGGCTGTAAAATTGATGGTGGATGCTTAAATGCTCTTTCTAAGGACTAATCTTGTGAAAAGAGGAAAGTCAGAAAATGCTTCAAGGTAAATTGTATGTTTTACACTACTATGCTTTTTTATAATCCTACTGAAGTATATATGCAAGTAGAAAGTTATGTGTACATTAATTGATGTATAGATTAAGCTTTACCATGACAAAAAGGCCATGGTTGCTGCAGATATGGAAAGTCACATCGTTTGTCTGGATGAATTTGGCCATGTTATAGTTACAACTTAGAACCAAATAATCGGTTTGAGCAGAGAAAAGTGGAATCAACAAAATGAATGTGGTAGCATTATTGTTTTGTCTTCCTTTTGCGGAAAGAAGTGTGAATTTATTTACAGGGAGCTTTAAGAAAGCAGAATACATACTTTTCAAGAGGGAAACTTTCTCTTTTATTTATTTATTTTTTTAACTTTCAGGTACCTTTAATTTCAGTGATGATAACCGTCGTTTTAGCTTTTCACCAATTATTCTTGTCAATAATCTTCACAATAAATCTTTTCCAAGATTCCTTGTTGTTTGTGGAATGAGCACTTAAAAGGCATGAAGCATTCAGCAGTTCTGGCTTAGTGCAAGGGACAGTTTCATAGTGTTTCAAGTGCTATGAAAATCTGTGTCAAGAAGAGCCGAGAAGCGTCGCTTGGCCAGTGAGTGTTTGCTGCTGCTTGCTTGGCACGTGGGGGAACATTCAATGCAGCAATCCCGGTGTCATTAATCTTCTTTGCCTCACAACTTGCATAGTCAGTTAGTGCAGAATGGGTATAAAACATAAATGCCACGTGCACAGCAGTGCCTGTGGGTGCTCTAACGGGGGCGATCCACGTCGGCTGTATTGAAGTTGGCCTGCAGGGATAATGGCAACCCGCTCGTGGAAGTGCTGTCACGTCAGTCTTTTTCACATTCTAGCTGCTATTGATGGTTTTGCAATGCAGTTTTCTTTCTGGAGGCTTATTATAGCTCTAACTATCTGATGTATTTAAGTGGTGGTGCATGATACCAGCTTGTTGGCTGCACTCTCGCATTCTGAGTTGATTCAGATTAAGAGCTAACTGCCAAAGAATTGTTCCCATTCCCTCGCTCTGGCTGCTGCTCTTCCATTTTTTTCATAATGCATTGAGCTTTCTCTGCAGTTTTATGGATAAGCAGATTCAGATCACCAGAACAGCCAAAAAGGACCCTGCAAAACACAAACCTGTAGTTTTTATGGCTTTGCTGCTGCTTGCTGTGGAATGGGTCACGTGCAAAGGGCCGAAGCCGGGTTGAGGAGCGGGGCTGCGGGGAGACGGGCTCCGCGCTGCCTGGCTGACCCCGCTCCGTTGGTGCGAGCAGGGGCGCAGGCCTGGTGCAGCCGCGGCTGTGCTTGGTGCGCGCTGGCTGCCGCGGCGCCCGGGCGCAGAGAACAGGGGTTGGCGTGAGCGTCTAACACGTGAGACATCGGAAATATCTGCAGTTCTTGGAAAATGCTGAACACCAAGCTTTACCCCGGTGCATCTTGAATACTAGCCTTGATCCACGCTGCCTGCCACCGTCGCTCACCGGGAGCTAATCCACTGGCTAGGGTTGACGCAGAGACTCTTAAAGCACTTGTACAGTCACCTATACCTAAAGAGCAGTCTGTAAATATGACAAAAAAAGGGACCTTTTTAGATGATTTTTTTTCTTTAAACTGAGAAACTCAATCTTACATTTGGGCCAATATGGTAGTTAAATTCTGAAAAACCCAAAGCAAAGAACAGATGATATATTATATGCCAGCATTACAGGTTCATCAAAGAGTGATTTCTTCTGTTGCTTAACCGCTAAATAATATTAGAAATTTATGTTGATACAAAAAAAATGTTACTTGAAATGAAAGGTGAGCCTGTTCAGTATCTGTTCAATTGCTAGACATTTTCTGTGAGATAATGGGTCCAATGTACTTATTGTCTATATGTTCTTTAAGTATGGACACGCTGTTGGTATTCTTAAAAGGTCTGTTTATTTCTCCACAGGTATTTAAAAAAATGAGTGAATTGGACCATGGCACATTCTTTAAAACTCACAGGATCAGTGATGTAGGTATGTATGCTGTTATGGTTAGATTTAATTGGTTCATCACAACCTAGAATAAAACTATTTATAAAATAGCATATGCAGTTATTATGTACATACAGAGGCTGCTGTAGCATTCCAATTCTTGACATGAAAAATCTTTTCATTATGAGGTATCATCTGGGGTCACTTTGTCAATCTTTCTGCAAGCATGCAGCAAATGAGAATTCTTAGGAGAGGATTTTGCAGGATTTACTTTAGCATTTTATATAGACCTCTCTTCAAAACTATCTATCAGAAATATGATTTGCAAGCATTCTTTTTTAATAGTGAATGAAAAAAGAAAAAGTTTCCACTAATATCTAATGGCAAGTTTTGCTGTTGAATGTACCTAAAAAAGATGGGAAAGAAAAGCCCTGATTCCACAGCCATTCCTTATTTTCTTAAACTCCCTAGTTATATATAAAAATTACTGGTCATCTGTGCACTGAAGTCTTATAGTACAGGAGCAAAAGTTCAAGTATATTCACTCAACATTAGAAATGCATTTCATGCTTCAGCAAGTGTTTGATGTAGAAAGTCATGAAAGGATCTTTCAGAATCCTATCCCTTCTGTCTGTAAGTAATATTTTGTGGTTTGACTCATACATATAATTGTGGGTAATTTATTCATGCTCATGTTTATAGATGTGTATTTATGTCTATATAAAATGTATTGGATATGCTTTGTGTTTTACAAAATAAAGTTTGCATCCTGTCTGCTAAGATAGTGATTCTGGACTGTCCTCTTACATGGGTGGACCTCACTGACTTCAGAAGATTGCTCAAAGCAGAGCCTTCAATAGGAGAAACGTACGAAAATGAGCTGAGGGAATTCAGGAGAAAGCTCAGGCTAAAGGAAAGGAAGCATATGGAAAGTAAAGATGGAAGTTAAACATTCTGGATTAGACATTTGGAAACTGAAGCTTTCTTCTTGCCCTTCCAATGCATCTCCAAAGATAGACAAAGCAGAGAATTCTGAGTCAGTTGCAATAGATACTGCAGGGAGGAATTTAGCTGTTTTTCATTCCTGAAAACAATAGCCCCACCTTTGTTCTGCCACAATGAGGCTGTCTGGTAGTGAAATCTGAAAAGACTGTATCATGTTTTTTGACTGTATCATGAGATTCATCAGCACCACTCCAAAGAAGAAATACAGAGCTTGTAGTTAACGGTGTCTAGTGATAGTTAAGGTCATTCAGTAATACTAGTAGTAGTTACCGACTCTTTTCTGATGGATGTGACATGATGCATCTACTAGCTTGCCTTCTGTCCCTGGTGGAATGTCCCCAGGGAGCCTGATTTAGAGGTGGTTGGGAATTGTTCTGCAGCTCATGCTGACTGATGCCAGGGCCACAAAGGACTCTTAGCAGACTAGCAGTGATTATGAGGCTTTGGGAACCATAAGGAAGGGGTAATAGGCTTAGGTGGAAGATCTGAGTGAACGGGATTCGCCCGCTGCCCTTCTGCTCCTTTGAGCAAGGGATGTTGCACGAGGCGCCAGACACAGTGTAATGCACCCCGGAAAGAGGGGAAAAGCCATATTTGTGTAATGCCCTGTTAATTTAGGAATGAGGGCTTAGATTTACATTGGGTAAATTTAGGATGGATGCAAAAGCCCACAAATAAAGTAACCTGAGGGTCTGAAAACTAGGAGAGAGGAGACTATTTATAGCAGGCAATAGGAGATACACTTTTCGTGTCAGAAATGTAGACAACAAAAATATATTTTTAATACAAGATTGAAACTGTGACCTCACTGGCATAGCACTGATTGGTAGGATAATACATGTGATGAGAGGATTAATGTGGGAGAGTATGTATTATTAAGGAGGAACATTCAGGAAAAAGAAAAGGAAGCCTTCCTCTCTCCAGGAGACGTAGCCTGGGGTTCAGGGAGAGCATCCTGCCGAGGGAATGGGGGAAGGCTGTGGAGTCTGGCGGGAGGGAAGCGCACGGTGCTGTTTTCATGGGAGTCTGTTGTAGGTCGGTAAGTCAAGAACAGCTGCTGATTAATATTATGAAGCAATGTAGCTGAGATTTCTTTAGCAGCTTTCTCCTTTACTGATGACAAATATTGTTCAGGCCAGATTTGCAGTCCTGGGTTTCTTGGTTTGTTCTGTCCCAGCTGCTTTGCTGTCCCGGCCTCATTGCGTTTTAAGCGTTAACACATGGAGAGTCTTGAGTTGAAGCGACTGTGTAGTGTTGGGGGGTGTCGGCAGGCGAGGGACAGGAGAAGGACACAAAAGATACACTCAGAGTAGGATTGTGCAGTAAACTGGGGGGAGCTGTTGTTTAGGACATACAGCATGCCCTGGTGAACTTTCTAAAGACATGAGGGAGACTGCATGGTTAAAGACTAATGTAGTTAATTCTTCATTGATTTCAAAAACTTTTTTGAGCTACTTTTTTTTTTTTGACAAATTTTTCAAAACTGTCATAAACTTTCAAATATGAATGATAGGAGTCCAGAAAGTAAACACTATAACTCGTGCTATATGCAACAGAAATGAAGTATGATGTTTTCTTTGAGGTTCAGTTTTTGAGGAAATGCCCTGGTTTCCCCAGAGCTGCAGAAGTTCAGTAGAAAAGGTATGCCATTCTTTTGGTCAGAGATTTAGTCAGAAATGTAACTTCAATAACTTGTTTTCTACTGCAGCTCATTATGTTTATGTGTAAAGAGTGATTTTTACATCTTTTAGAGAAAAATTACTCATATCGCCTGGCCTGTAGATGGTAATAAATGGAGTAGTCTTCCAATTTATGAAATAGGAATGCTTACATGGAAATGTATGTACTTCTGCATATGAATTTACTATAATTCCTGAAAATCCAATTTAAACTGATTTTTTTTTCAGTTAGCATTTGCAAACGTAACTCTTTTCTGTGAGCTAGGTGTAAATAAGCAAACAAAGTTTCTGCTACCATTTCTACTGGCTTATAGTTCTCTTTTGAATTCACTGACTAAAAATCTTATTGTCCTAGAATCTTTTAAGGTTCTGATTCAAATTTCTATGTATAATGTTTCCTTTTTATGATTTTAAAGTATTTCTTCAGAATTTGAAATGACTTTGTTTTATATGATGACTAGAAAATCTAGTGGTTTCCATGAGAAATGGTCTTTACAGCCGGAAGTATAAACCTATTGACTATAAACATCTCTATGAACTTGCTAATGAAGAAAAAAAGGCATCTACTAAAATCCAATTAAAGGTATGTTCTTGTTTTTCATTTCTAATGTAAATGATCTTGTTTCACAAGTACAATGATCATATTTCTTTTTGTGGCCTTGAGTCTGAAAATAAGTAGGAATGTCAGCTTGCTGTAGTAGTATTCATGGGGTTGAAAAAGGGATGAGTTTATCACAGTTAATATTATTTTGACCTGGACACTTTCATGTCCAAATGTGATTTTTTTTTTTCCCCCCCCTCAAGTCAGACATGCTAAATGTCTATGTACTGTGCTTCCTAAAGGGTCAAAAAAAGTTTATAATGCTTGGAGCAAATTTATGCAGATTTGTTACATAATCCAATATATTGTTAGTATGAAGAACTTAGAGGAATGAATGGAAAAAGGGGCTGATCTGGAAAGAAAAAAAAAAAAAAAAAAAAAAAAAAAAAAAAAAAAAAAAAAAAAAAAAAAGAAAAAGTTATGAAGTGAGGACTTCCAGAAGTCAATCTGACTTAGACTTAGATCTTGAAAAGAAAATTTAAAATATTTTATATCCATATCATGTAAATGAAGGACTAGGCAGGTATAAAGGGATAAACAGCTGTGGTACTGCACAAGGGTAAGTAAAAAAAATAGTCTATTTATTAATAAGCTGGTGAAAATATCACCTCTAGTTTTATTAAGGTGGTGATTTATAGTGTGTGGACAAAACACTTGTTTAACAGAAATTAGTGTAAAAGAAACAAAACTCTGTGCTGTCAAACTGGCAAGAAGACTAAGTATCAAATATTCTCCATCCCGTAATGCAGCTTTACGTAGAGCCAAAGTCTTTCCTCGATGTGGGCAGGGCTGCTGGCTTCCAATGCGTACAGGCAACTCTGCATACTGCCATGCACTAGCTCCTTAAGCAGCAAAGCCAAATGCATGAGGGACTGTAGCTCACCTCAGTTCTCATCTAGCTGTTGTTAAATGCTTTTTTCGGCTTTGTAACAGGAAGGAAATAACATTTTAATTTCTACACATTTTCATTCAGAGAAGTTCTTTTCGTAATGAGCTTTTTTTTTTTTTTTTCCAGGCAACCTCTTATGCACTCTTAAGGCGCAGTGGAATTTAAGCTGTTGCACTTATAATGTTTAATAGGAGGGTTCAGAATTGGCAGTTATTGCATTATTCTGCCTAAATACCTGTGTATTGCAACTAGTTGCTGGGGAAAGTGGGTAGCAATAAGCACTTTCCAGATATAGTCCTTATATTTGTAATTATAAGAACTGCACTTTAAAAACCTGTAGTGTCTCTGAAGGAGAGTATATGTCCAACTCTCCATGTCAGCATATAACTCCTAAAGGATTTAATTCCTAAAGGATTAATTTCTAAAGGATGGGTGCCTGTGATGACTCCTCTCTCTTCCCGCGCGTGTGTTGCTGGCTCCATTCTCAGTTGTTTAGAGATGGTGTGAAACACCGATTCAGACCTGCTGCAGAGTCATAACTCCTTGTCAGAGTGCAGCTGCTTTGGGTGTATAGCTGTGTCTCTGATGAGTGTTATATGGTTTCACAAAAGTGTTCACGAAAGGAAACATTTTTTGAAGAAAATGGCCCCCTGCACATTCAACTGATATAGTTCCTTCAGGTTAGCAGACAAAATAGCAGAGAAAAATTAAATATTTTAAAGTGCTCATTTTCTTTATAGTATTTGCTTCCTTTGCTTCATGCAGGTATCATTAATCAAAAGCTCTATTGTTTCTTCATTGATTGGCAGTACAAAATTCTGCTGAATTCATTCAAGCTCTAACCAATTTTTTATCACCTCTCTTCTGGTATTTCCCTTTCTCAAGACTTCTCCAACTGAGCAGGTAGCAAAACATGTATGCTGTAAGCTCCACAGTGAATCCAATGCATTTCCTCTACTGCTTTTTCTGATGTTCATTCAGGTAATCCAAATTATGAAGTGCTGGGTTACTCCTCCATTGATGCAGAACCAGATTGATGATAAACCAGTTGTTGACCATCTTCAGAAAAAATACAGAGCGTGTGTGAAGCAGCTAATACTGTAGCAGTTATAAATAAATGTCATTTCTATTGTATAATTTCAGGACTATATGTCTAAGATGCACTATCTACTTCATCTTTTATGAAGTGGATTTTCCCATTAGTTTTAGAATTGATTTGAGGATGTATGGATTTCTTTTCTTATCTAGTGAATATTAGTAAAGCAGACTTGCTGAAAGTACAATGGATTGTTTTTGCTTTTTGAGTGCTGTGTAGGACAATTTCATACTAGTTGCAGTTTTTCTTTAAGTGACTGGCTTTAATACTGGTTTAGCTTTATTTATAAAATGGGATGGAAGATTAGAAGTCAAAATGCTATGTAAGATCTATTGATCTTTAAGCCTTTTGGTCCTGAGCTCACATATTTTCTAATGGTATGAAATGCTAATTTCATAGTTGCCTCTTTGTTTTTCTTTCTTTCCTGTCAACCTGAGATAAAACTTATTTGGACTCCTAAAGATAAAGCATTATGAGATGTAGGAGATTGCAGAATGTCATATGTTTTGTTGATCACAGAATGTCTCTTTGAAGAATATTGTATAGTTAAAAGTTTCCCTAGAAAGGGGATTTTTTAAAGTTATTGAACAGATTTAGATTATTTAGAAGTTTTTATTTTTCCTCCAGGTTAAAAAAATGGAACAAGTTTCAAAAAATAACAAAGAACAAACACTGTTGAAACAACACCACCAAGTGTGGTGGCAAGAACATAAAAAACTGAGTGAGAACAGGTAAGAAGTGAGGAATCTTAATTTGACGTTCTTAAGGAAAATCTTGAGAAGTCAAAGTTTCTGGTTAAAAGGCACACACAGAAATAAAACACCTGTACCGAGTAAGAGCTTCTGTGCGAGTTTATGACCTACATCAAAAGGGGTCTGTAGACTTGACAGATAAAGGAGCAGAAGGAGCAGGGTGGATGTTTTTCTGCAAGTATTTTTCCATGGTGGTATTGTAGCTGTATGGTTTATCTATCAACACCTGAAAAGTCTGTATTTTAATATATATATATATATATAAAATATATATATACAGTTATATATATATAATATAAATTTTTATATATAAGAGTCTGTATCAGCAGTTCTGGGATGTTTTTAAATTCCTTCGAAGTGTCACCGTCTGTATTCAGGTATGTATAATCAAGTCATGGTTAGAAGAAGGAAAGTTAATACCATGCATGTCTGAGGATCACCGCTAAAGGTGAATGAAGAGCTGGCACAGCTGCATTTATTTCTGCTGCACAAGCTGTTTTCTTTTGAATGATGTGTTCCCATATTTCAGCATTTTCTGAAAACAACCCTTTGGGCAGCCTGCTGCAGGGAGTTTTTCAGAAACACGTGCTGTGCTGCACAAAGCACGGAGCTTGTATTAGCAATGCAAGCTGTCCTGTGTCTAGTGACTTTGCATGTCGTTGGTGCAGCAGCTCGGTGAGAGACACCGTCCATATCGTCATGTTGGTACCTCACTCCTCTATTTCCTGTACCTTCCTACGGAGGGGATCACCCCTTTTGCTTAGTATCTTTGCTTTGATCGAGTACTAGACGTTTATAATCCTTTGAGAATTTAATGAATAAGAAGTGATACTTTTGTAAAACCCACTTTACTACCTTTCAGACAAAAAGTGGAAGCAGAAATACAGACTTTTCTTAATGAAGGAAGCCATAAGTATGACTTTTGGAGAGATTTGTGGAACTTGGGTAAGAATTTTCAATTTATTTTATGATTATTTTTAGTGAGTTTTTAAATATCTGTCTGGACAGCTCTAAATTTTGAAAGTACAATGCCATAGAATATGTGTGTGTTTGATAAAGTTTTATGTTTCATTTGGATATAGCGCAGAAATTATCAGAAGGGCGGGATTCATACCAAACAAATACGGTAGTTCCTATCTGGCAACTAAGAGAGAATTTGAAATTCAGGCTATCTGAAATGCAGCACTGCCCCTCAGAAGAATCTTTTCAGAAGGATCAGTTCAATCCAGTTGAGATGTTACAACAGGTTGGTAATTTGATTTCATTTCTACAACTTAGTATTGCTTTATTTTTAGGATTTTCATTTAGTTTTATGTGGTAGGTTTTTTGTTGTTCATTGTTGGTTTTCTTATTTGTAAATATAAACTTTAATATTATGACAGTGTTTTAAAAATAACTGTTGCCTATTTCATGATATAGATAGACTTTGTGAAGAAACAACAGGAAGCAATATTGGAATTCCTTAACCTTGAAATTCTGGCTTTGGAAAAAGAGCTTGAAGACTCTAAAACCAAAGTAAGGTTTCACACACTCACAGAATCCCAGAATGGTTGAGGCTGGAAGGGAACTTCAAGAGATCTAGTCCAACTCCCCTGGTCAAGCAGGGCCACATAGAGCACATTGCACAGGGTTCTATTGGTTTTCCAAATTAGTTTAATTAGCAATTTTTCAAGGAAGTGTAATACAGAAGCGTATTCTAAGTAGCATTTTTATTACAGGCATTATCACAATCTTTTGAAGAGAAAAACGGACTTTTCCATAAAGTTCCTTCAGCACTACTGTCATTGGAGTGTCCCTGTTCTGATTTGAAGACGTTGATTATTGATGAATATCGTAAGCTTGCAGGTGAATACTGGTCTAAGCTTCAGGAGATTGATCAACAGTTAAATGTCATACATAGGTAATGGCCTCTGTTTCAGCTTTTTTTTTTTTTTCCTACTAGACATAAAATCTAGAACCATGGTGTGTTTTACTGTCTATGGACCTTGCACTTGACTTTACCATGAGGATTAGTTCTCTTTTCTCTGTGTTGAAAATAGTTGACTTGCTGCCCAGCTCTGTGGGACCAGATATTCAGTAGCTGTTTGCATAGCTGAGAGAAATGAGACAGTCCTTTCAAAAGAACTCATCTGAAATAATAAGTGAAATGTTTTGTGGATTAAAAACCAACAATGTGGTGCGTAGCAAATGTCCTCATTGCATGTGTTCATATAAATAGAAATGATTCTTTCTCTATAGTTATTGTACTGTCAAGTACATTTATATCAAAAAGTACAGTCTTTGCAGAAATATTGTTCTGAAACAGATCAACTTTCATTCTTTTCAAGAATTCTGGGTTGTTGCAGTAATTCTCATCACAAAGAAATGTTAAAATGCACATAGCCACAGTTTGGAATAGTTTAAAACAGTAGTTTTTCTGTTTAAAAAAAAAAAAGTTTATAAAAAAGCATGCATTATAACATCACTATCCTTTCATTTGCCTTCCTGTTTTTAAGGTTTTCTTAATTTATGTTTTCATGATTTACCCACCACAATAATATTAAAAACATTTTGAGTAAAAAGCAAGATTCTTATCCCTTGTTCCAAGATCTGGTGTTTATAAAATGCACAGTGCTTCTTTCTATCAATTCTTACGTTTATATTGTATACTTTGCAGGATAATAATTAGAGTTTGAAAAAGCCTTATGGTTTAAAGATTTTAAAATTCATTGAGCCAATTGAACTGATAATCCTGTGAAAGGCTGAGCTTTAGATTTAGATTGAGCTGGACCTCCATGTGTACCCACTGTATTTATTATCAGAGCCTAATGAAACGTGCATTTATCTTCAGTGCTGTTTACCTGACTCCCACAAACTTTCCTTTACAAACCATTTTTACTCTTGTTCTTATATTTTGGGAAGCCACTCAGCAGAACAACATGACTGTTTGTTTTCTTAATTATGTTAGAATTATCTCTGTGTCCGTATTTATCTCTCACATGCACAGAAGAAAACTTAATATTAGTCATCTGGTGTTACACATTTCATTGTTTTTGATTTTCTGAACAGTCATACAGAAAAATCAGAAAATATGCATACAATTTCCAAAGACAGAAAAACAGGATACAGTAATATTTTGACCTGATATTTTGGCCCTTTCTATTGGCTAGTCCTATTATTGCATTTAGAAAGTGAAAAAATATTTTTCAAACATTGTCTAGAATTATAATGTTTTATCAATCTGAATTTATTCCTTTTCTGCTACATTTTATGTACATTTTATTTTTAGAAAATACGTAAGTCCTAAATTATTCCATAAATTGCAGAGATAGATTGGATTGTTACAGGTGGTGACTCTAAGCACTATTTCATTTTTGCCATAATTTCTAAGGCTTTTTGGATGGTTTAAATGACTGCTAGATAAATGGAATATTGCATAATCAGGACTGTATCTTCTGCAGCATCCTTTTAAATGAATGGGACACTAGGGCTAAGCCAAGCAAGTGTAGTTGCTCTTTTGAGGCGGGGGAAGAGGGTGTTTCTGGTCCGCTCCGAGGAAGAAGGGCGCTGATCGGAGGGTTGCCGGCGCAGCGGGACGGCAGCGCCTCGAGTGTGTCCAGGCGTTCCGTGGGGAAGGAGCTCCCCAGGGAGCTCCCCCTCGCAGTTGTTTATGTTCCCTAGCACAGGCTAAGCCAGGGATTAGCCCAGAGTAAATCTGTTCCAGAGGAACCAGCTGTCTCCAGAAGCTATTGTTGAAGATAAGACAATTGCCGTGTCTCACTTCTGAAACCCAATTAAGATTCGGGACCCTTCTAGCAGAGGGGTAGTAGGTGTAAGAAAAGCAAGTAGTACATTAAAAATATGGGTCATGTGTTCAGTCTTGTGAAAATTTGTTCATGTCCTGGCACTAAAAAAGCATCATCTTGTCTTGTATATTAATGTAGAAGGTGTTTGACACTTTTTGGACTCTTCTTAGGGTAAGATCTTTCCTGGACTTTTACAGAAATTTAAGCGAAGTGACATCTTGCCTCCTGAAATTCCTCGTGCGTGTGGTGGCTGCAGACACGCTGGGCTGGATCCCGTTTCTTTGGCTGTTTGTCTGTGAGCAGCCAACACGCTGCTCTTGGTGCAGCGGCCCAGCCACGGCACCGGCAGTCGTGCGTCCACGCTGGCTGCTTAAAATAGACTGCTTAAAGCTTTAGCTTAGAGCTCCCCGGAGCATCTCCCACAGCCCTTAATTTGTGGGCCCTGTGGGCCCGTCCTGCTCCTGAGCAGCACAGCAGGTCGTGCTGAGGTGGCCGTTAGGACAGAGCCCTAATCACAGGGATCTGGAGAGGCGCAGGCAGAGGCAGGTGTGCCCTCGTGCGCGGCAAACAGGAGAGCTCATCAGAATGGTTCTTCTGGCCACCGAATCCATGGTTTTCCTTGGGCTCCTGTTAAGAGCTGGTGGTGTATTTCCTGGCTGAGATACGTTTTATGAATGAACATAGGTTTAGTATTAATACTCATATACAGCTGAGAGGTTTCGTGTTGTTATTTGTAAAGGTATCTGTGCAGTTCTCTGTACTGCATGGCTGGAAAGGCTATGCACATACACAGGCTGTCCTCATACACAGAATCAAGGACATTTTTTTCCCCACAACTATGTTCTTTCGCATACAGATTCTTATCTCCAATGTGTTCACTTAGGCAAACTGGCCACTCAAAAATCTATGGGCCCAGATGGAATGCACCCAAGAGTGCTGAGGGAATTGGCCGAGGTAATTGCTCAGCCGCTGTCCATCATCTTTGAGAGGTCCTGGAGAGCAGGGGAGGTGCCCGAGGACTGGAAGAGAGCCAACGTCACTCCAGTCTTCAAAAAGGGCAAGAGGGAGGAGCCGGGCAATTACAGGCCGGTCAGCCTCACCTCTGTCCCTGGAAAGGTGATGGAGCGGTTCATCCTAGAGAGAATCTCCAGGCATAAGAAGGAGAAGAAGCTGTTGAGGAGCAGTCAGCATGGATTCACCAAGGGGAAGTCATGTCTGACGAACCTCGTGGCCTTCTATGATGGGGTGACAGGCTGGCTGGACGAGGGGAGAGCCGTGGATGTTGTCTACCTTGACTTCAGCAAGGCTTTTGACACCGTCTCCCATAATATCCTCATACGGAAGCTCCGGGAGAGTGGACTGGATGAGTGCACGGTGCGGTGGATCGAGGGCTGGCTGGATGGCAGAGCTCAGAGGGTGGTGATAAATGGGGCCGAGTCCAGTTGGAGGCCTGTGGCCAGTGGTGTCCCCCAGGGGTCAGTGCTGGGCCCAGTGCTGTTCAACTTGTTTATCAATGACCTGGACGAGGGCACGGAATGCACCCTGAGCAAGTTTGCGGATGACACCAAGCTGGGTGGAGTGGCCGACACTCCGGAGGGCTGTGCTGCCATCCAGAGGGACCTGGACAGGCTGGAGAGTTGGGCAGAGAGGAACCTCATGAGGTTCAACAAGGACAAGGGCAGGGTCCTGCACCTGGGGAGGAATAACCCCAGGCATCAGTACAGATTAGGGCTCGACCTGCTGGAAAGCAGCTCCACGGAGAGGGACCTGGGAGTCCTGGTTGACACTAAGTTAACCAGGAGTGAGCAGTGTGCCCTCGTGGCCAAGAAGGCCAATGGGATCCTGGCCTGCATCGGGAGGAGTGTTGCCAGCAGGTCAAGGGAGGTGATTCTGCCCCTCTACTCAGCTCTGGTGAGGCCACACCTGGAGTACTGTGTGCAGTTCTGGGCACCCCAGTATAGGAGGGATGTGGAGCTTCTGGAGAGGGTCCAGAGAAGGGCAACCAGGATGATTAAGGGAATGGAACATCTCTCGTACGAAGAGAGGCTGAGTGAGCTGGGCCTGTTTTCTCTGGAGAAGAGACGGCTCAGAGGGGATATGATTAATATGTATAAGTTCAGGAAGGGAGAATGCAGGGAGGAAAGGGATAGGCTGTTTTCACTGGTGGCCAGCGATAGGACGAGGGGTAATGGCCATAAGCTGGAGCACAGGAAGTTCTGTCTCCAGGTGAGGAGGAACTTCTTTACTGCAGAGCAGTGGAACAGGCTGCCCAGGGAGGTTGTGGAGTCTCCTACTCTGGAGGTCTTCAAAACCCGCCTGGATGCCACCCTGTGCCACATGCTGTAGGTGTGCCTGCTTGAACAGGAAGGTTGGACTAGACAATCTCTAGAGGTCCCTTCCAACCTTGAATATTCTGTGATTCTGTGTTTTACTGGCCTCTCAAGATGTAATATGAATCTGAATGAGTGTACCTTATTTCTCATGTAGACAAGAAGATTCGAGTTTGACCATGAAACCTGCATGTTCACAAATCTCTGAGATAGTTTCAAGAGCTGTGAAACTTTTTTGCAAAATCTCATCACTGTCACTAAAATACTTTTTTCGAAACAGCCCAAAACCAAAGCATATCAGGACTTAGAGAAGAGAGGTTTTATTCAGACATTATAAGAGATGGTTCAGAATCCAGCACACAAAGGGGTAAACACTTCTTGGGATGCCTGGTAATACCCCTGAGTACATACTGGTAGAGCTGTGTTTCTCCTTTCCAAAATCTTTGTGTAGAAAGATAACACGAATATTAGGTATTATCATAATAAAAACATAGTTTTGCACTGAGTTTAGCATTAGTAGGAGCACTACACTGAAAGAATTTTAAATCACTAGAAAGAATAAGATGTAAATAAAATGTGCACAAGAGACTGAATTGGTTCATTACAGTTATTCCTCAGAATGCTTCAGAATATCAAATTGGGACACGGACATTCCAAAATGAATAAATGAGCTGATTTCATAGAAAAGCCCCCTGTAGAGCCAAGGGGTGTCCCCAGAACAGTGTCCCCGGGTTAGCTGAGCTGCAGGAGGTCCCGCAGGCATCGCCCACCTTCCCAGCGCGGCTTTGTGCCAAGCCCAGGAGCTGCTGCCTCTGGAGAGCCCAGCGTCTGCCGTGTGGAACCCGCTACGCTGCAACCATTTCCCCTCTGAAGGATTCCTCACCCCTGTTTCAGTCCCTTGGACATTATTCCTGTTTTATTTTTAGCGTGAATGAAAATATCTCAGTTCAGCCATTTATATTCATAGTCTTTCCTAAGAAATTTAAGTAATTGCCTATAAAGAAACACTTTCATTGCCTGAGAATATCTGCTTTTGGCATTGCAGTTCCACACTTTATGTTATCTTGGTGGTTGTCAGTAGCTGCAAATAAACTTTTTACAGGAGCTAGATCTTTTTTCTCCCCCATTTGGAAGCTACTTCCATTTCTTTTCATGATGGCTGGGATTTAATAGCAACCAGCTGGGACCTAGAAATGGAAATGGTTTTTGAGATATGCTGCATATTTTCAGATTATGCCTACATTCCACCCGTGTTTTCCTCTTCTATCCCACATAAGATCTACATGTTATCTATGTGTAGGGGTAGCCAGCTCCATCGGCTCTTGCATGCGTGTTGGTGGGTGTCCCTGTGGGGATGGGTGGCTCCATGCTGGCAGCGCCGCGCGTGTCTCGCACAGCAGAGCTCTCCCTCGGGAGCTCACGGCACCGCACTCGGGTGTCCCGGGCGCTGGGGCCGCGGGGATGTCGAGGGGCAGCCGTCGGCTGGAATTCACGTCACCAGCTGCACCGCAGCGGCTGCCTGCGCGGACACCACACAGGATTCGCTTGGCCCTTGTGCGTGGCCTTTGTCCTGCCAGAAATCAGGCTGCTCTGGAATTGCTACAGGTTTGGCACAAGATTTGCAACATCTTGTGACTTACTCCAAAGTTGTGCAGATTGCAAACCTTTTTCTTGACAGGAAAACCAAAGACACAAGTACTGACGTATCCTGTTTGTATTCTGGTTTGATACTGCTACTTTTAGACATTTGGAGGTTTTTTAGTTCATTTTCTATGTGTCACTTCCGTCTCACTCTGTTGCTTAACAGAGGGTCAGCAAAAAGTTATATTTTCCCCATAAAAACCCTTTCCATAATGGATTCCTATATACAATGCAAGCATTACTGCTGCAGAGCTCTCTGAGATGCTTATAGCACTAGTGGTTTTAATAATGTTGTTAGTTTGGTGAAGGAAGGTGGGATGTGATTTCTTCTTACTCGGTCATCTTCCCTGTGTGGCTGTCTGCATAAAGCCGAGGCAAACTTTAAATATTTACTCAAAGAAAAACAAAATACAGAAAAAGAAAATAAGAAGTACAGGAAACACAGTATTCACACCCCACTAAGGAATATGGGTTTTAATATTTCTGCTCAATGTGGTTATCATTATGTTGCTGCCATGCTTATAGTGCAATGATGGTTCTATGCTAAATCCTGTTGTTATAATGAGCTAAAGAATCATTTTCTTTTCATGAAAGAAGATTAAATATTTGGAGGTAGGGGAAAGAACCTTTGATCACCAACTGTATCTACAAGGTGGGAGAAGGTTAAATCTCTCTGTTCTTCTATCTGATCGTTTTTAAGACCACAGAAGTAAAACTAAAGGCCATTAGTCTGCCTAAAAATAGCCTTGTAAAATGAGTACCTTATGTGAATATAAACCAGGAAAAGTGGGTATCTGTGCAACTTCATGCCAACTTATAACAACAGAGCACGCCAGTAGGAAAAAAAAAATGTATGTGTTATCCGGAGTGCGGGTGCTTTTGTCTGATGAATACACTGCTTGGAAAACTGTTGTTAAAATGGAATATTGTATCATTGCAATCTTGAGCTATATCCGTAGGTGAAGCTTTCGGTTCTTGCAGCTAACAGGTCTAGGGATATTTTCTTTCTCCCTCCTTCAGCATTTCAGAATGTTGTGTAACATTGATTATAGATTATTTCTACTGTCCAAAATTTTTTGAAGAGAAGTTATATATAAACCGAATTGTTATTTTTTAGAAATACTTGTATTCACTTTTTGTTCTTCAGAAAGAATAACACTAGACTATCACTGAATCTAGTTTAATATTGATTACATTAAAGCAACTCACGTAAGAGTGATTTGGTCCTCTCTTTTTCCTTAATATCTGATATTTCTACCTGCACAGGGATAAAATTGTCCTTACATCTTCCTGAGCATAGAGCTGTTAAATGCCAAGGCTGAGGAAGTGCAAGAGCTGCAAATAGGTGGAGACTGCAGGAATTTGGTGGCAGAGGTGGGGTTTTAGATTCATGTGATTATCTTTTAATTTTCTCAAGGCTTTTAGCCAGGCTCAGGACTTTTGGAAACAGGCCTCTGGGCTCAATAGACGTCTTATTCTGACTCAGTACTGCTCCTCTTGTGTTAATGCTGATAATAAAACCTTGGCATTAATCCCTCCAAGGTAAGGTTCACAGTAGAGAGAAATTCTGAGTTCCAATCCTGTGTAACTCTGCTTTAGTCTTATGTTGCATCTTGCTATTCTAATGTTCTGAAGTACATTAATGTATACTGGTTATTTCACCTCTTATTTTAAAAGCTGTAAAACTTATGCTGTTTTGAGTCTCGTTTATTTGTTTTTAAACTAACCCGTTTAGTCCCATGCAGATATGAGATCATTTTGGCGATGCTCAGATAGACGTTGTGATCTCTTTCCTTTTTTTCTTGTATTTTCTGTGTAGCATGACTATTTGTTAATGTAACTTATCTGAGTAAAACAATACTCAGATATTATACTCAACAATACTCAAATATTATTTCCTAATAAAAAGTCAGTGTAGAAAAGGAGCAGTTAACTTAAATGGTCACATAATAATAATTACATTTGAAAGGTGATATAAGTGTATTTTTTTGTTTCATTACAGTGAATTTCTGAGCTTTAATCCAGTATCAAGTTTGCAGGTGCCCCTTAAACTTAAAAATAAATATATATAATTAGATCCAACTTCCTTTTTAAATTTTAAATTATATTGGGGATTGTTTTTGATCTCTGCAGGAACATTAACTGGAAAGAAGATGATAAGTGGGTTTATCAGACTGTTATCAATCAATATCCAAGTGATCTTCAGAGAAGAAGGACTTTGTACCTCGATGTGCTGCAGAGATACCTTCCTCACAAGTCCAGACATGATCTGGTCAGTGGTCTCTTAAATACTAGATCAATTACAAAATTTCTTCTATATAGCATGTAGTGAACATTCGTATTAAAGAATTGTTTATCAAAGGTTTTTATAGTAAATTTTCTAAATCTTAAAATAGATTTTATTTTGCACAGGAAAAATGGATGTTTCTGTCTTTAATATGCATCATCCTGAATATTTATTACTTCTTCAAAATAAGCATTGTGAGAATTTTTTAGTTCCATCTACCCTTACAGGTGGATTCACTAAATTCCTTTGCTAATATTACTTCTGCTGTAAGGGTTTAGAGTTATGTCACGCTCTTCTGGTTCTCTGGTTAATATTTTTATGAGGAAGTACAGTATTGTTACACTGTCTAGGGCTAGTTATTTTAATTGGTTTATGGCACATGGACATGAGGAAGGATGGAAAGTTATCTCCTTTTATCAAGAAGTTACTTTTGTTTACATAATGCCTTTAAATTTGATGGATGATTCCTTTTATACTCGATAATAAAAACACAGCTAACGGAGAATTCAAGGCCAGATCATGTTACGGAGAGAGTCGGAGTCTTTCTTTCCCTGTGTGTTTTAGACCACTAACTCCTTATTTTAGAATAGTGCAAAGGGCTGATAGTGATGGTTATATGTAGCTTTGCCAGGAATGGATTGTTCTTGTGGATTTTAGAACATCTGCCTGTGAGAGATGGACTATGCATCATATATGTTGCATAATGTATGTATATGTAAAAAAAAAAAGTCATTAATTTGCTTTCATAATTCTTTCAAGTCTGTTAAAAGTAAAAATTCTAAATTTTGTATCATAATACTGTTTTGAATGGATGTATCTTAGTATATGTATTGGCATGATAAGTTTGTAAATGTTGAAACTGTACTAAGGTTCTATTCTTAAAATATTTACATTATATTGGGATAACTGAACTTTGATCCTTTTATTTCTGCTCCCCTCTGACGCTGGGCAAGTGCTGAGTACTTGATCTAGTGGCAGATCGTCAGAGATCTATTTTTAGAAGAAAGAAAGAAAAAAAAAAGAAATTACGAGAGAAGAAGTAAAAATAATTCTCATCTGTACTGTATTTGTACAACCTTTAAGTGGAGCTCTGTTTCTGGAAAGATCATAATTAGATTTGAAGAACCTCATCTTGCCGGAAATGCTCAGTATCTTCCAAACTGTACTGAAAGTACCTAACTTGCACAATTGTATTTCTGTGATCTGGGGTAAGGAGGGGCCACTGCACCTCATTCAGACTTTCAAGATCTTCTCTTCCAAACCTGCAGTTCAGAAGCGAGCGTGGGGGCCTCAGGAGGCTGAAGTGCTGCACGACCCGGGCAGAGAGCAGGAGAGGCCGGGCTGCCACCAGCACCTATCGACGCTGGGAGGCTGCACTCTGCATTTCTAGGCCCTAGTGGATTCCATAGGAATTTGTTGTAATAATTGTTAAAATATGATGTTTACTTTTCAAAAATATCTAGAATTATTATTTTTTTAATACATAGTTTTTAAACACTTCTGAAATGTTTTACTTTTTAGGTTGTTCATGAGAAAGCTTGGGCTCATTACCTTTTCACTAGGAATCAACGCAAACTTCTGATACTAAGTTGGGCTAAAGCTAGAAAAGCCTTTTTAGTTAAGGCAGTGACAACTGTTGCTGAAGCTTCTGCTGCCCATGAGACAGAATTAGTGCTGGCTAATACCAGACAAAAGCAGCAGGAACTCTGTACTGATCTGAAAGCAAAGGTAGGTTCAACTATAAATTCATCACATCCAAATTCAAAATTAATATAAGCAAAAAACTTCAAAGTATGTTTAGGAAAAAAAAAGCTAACTGAAGGCAGCTGTTACAATCCTGTTTTTACTAACTTAATTTAAATGTTTTGGATCATTACAAGACGACCAATTACAATATGTTGGCAGAGTTTTTATTGTGTGAAGCCTGACCTGCAAATTCTTTAGAGGATGTCCTGTTTCATGACCAGCAGGCATCCTTGTTTCATGCTTGTTTGACCATCTCTTCAGCTTTGTTTGTCTGTCTTTGATTAAGACTTAGTTTCCATCCTACCTAGCACATTTTAAGCCTTAATATGAATGTCATACTGTGCATGTAATTTCTGTAAAACTGCAGTCGCGTTTCAGAATATTTCAGAATATTTCAGAATATTTAAGGTTGGAAGGGACCTCTACAGATCATCTAGTCCAACCTTCCTGCTCAAGCAGGCACACCTASAGCATGTGGCACAGGGTGGCATCCAGGCGGGTTTTGAAGACCTCCAGAGTAGGAGACTCCACAACCTCCCTGGGCAGCCTGTTCCACTGCTCTGTCACCCTAACAGTAAAGAAGTTGCTCCTCACCTGGAGACGGAACTTCTTATGCTTCAGTTTGTGGCCATTACCCCTCGTCCTATCGCTGGCCACCAGTGAAAACAGCCTGTCCCCTTCCTCCCTGCATTCTCCCTTCCTGAACTTAATCTGAGCCTCATCAAAGAGTTTGAACTGGGATTTCTGTACTGGAGCACAAAAATTGTTCTGCAGTTTGCAATACGAGACAGTCTACCTAAGCTGCCAGGATCAGAGATCTGTTGCTAGATCCTTTTGGTTCTTGTTTAACCAAGTCATTTAACCAATAAGTCATTTAATGTTTTCTGCTTTGGTTTCTTCTTCAACAAAATGGAATTGATATCTATGCCAAGTGAGGTTTATTGCATAAAAACTTTTAATATTGGAATGCTCAAGGGTGGCAGCTAGAGAAACCTGCACCATTCTTCATCACTATCATTGGTTTTTTTACGTTATTTTTAGTCTATTTTTGGAGCAATGATGAATATCTGTCTTTTTTATGTTTTACAAGACCTGAAAAGAATTAATCCCATAGCTTGTTTGGCTTTGTTTTAAAGGTTCCACAAATATTCTGAAAGATGCTTTACTGTGTAAACATGTGTGGAAAAGAGCAAAATTACTCTTCTGAGTATGACGAGTCTGCTTGAGGTGCTCTTTGTGATTTTCCATGTGCACAGAAATTAACCTACAAAAGCATACATAGAGTGTTATTCTCACTTCACTCATATGATCTTTGTTGGACACTTGCCATTCAGTGAAATAGAAGTTTTTTGGTTTTATAGAAACAGATATTATTAAAAGAGTATCAATACAGACTTATACTTTGGGCTATGGTCTTCAAAATAATAACCTATGATTACAAAACTGTGAAAGAAATTAGAATGTGATTTTCTGAACCAAACATCCTTTTTCGATCTTTAACCCAATGTACTTAATGGCTCAAATCCCCTGCTCGCTGCAGAAGCTCAGTGAGTTTTGCTGTGAAGTCAGATTCTCTTCTCCCAGTGAATGGTCGACCCGCTCTCTTCTCCCCACCAAAGCAACAAGGAAATGTTGAAGCTGTTACCTTCACTCTCATGTTGCTTAAGGTTCTTGCTGATCCACTGAATACAGTGAGAGTTTAGATTGTGGCCTCCTGTTCTCTGTAGCTTGGAGCTTTTCTTAACTTAAACCTATTAGGTCTGTGCTTTTCAAGGGCTGCTGTCAGGCAGAGGTGACTGTTAAAATGTCCAAAGTTTGATCAAAACAGTTCATCTATTTCCCTGGTGAAGAGGAATGAAAAAGAAGTATCTTTTTCATTAAAGAAGGAAATCATTGTGACCTTACTTTGAAGAGCTCTGCAGCTGAAAGGGTTAGAGGATGAAAGCTGAACTTCTGTAAGGAACTAGTGATTTTTCTGCAGAAATGGTTCTGAATGTGTCCATATTTTCTTGTTTGGATTTGACAGGTAAATGCATTTGAAAGCTTGTTCTTTGCACAGCTTTAGTTCTTCGGAAGCACGCTGCTGAAGAGTGTCATGCAGTTGTAGGTAGCTTCAGCAGCCAACAGATAGGAAAGTAACTCTTAGTCTCTTGAATTAATTTCAAACTGATTAAAAACCCATCTTCAAATATTATGGAGATCTATAGATGAGGTAAACAGTGAACCTGTTTCAGTGATGAAATCAGTATAGATCTGGAAAACATATAATAGCTCTTCCTTTTTTTCCGTTGATTGACTTAATTCTATGCATTTCAGTGAGCTTATTTTAAGAAAATCTTGCTGGTGTGACTTGCTCAATGGGAAACATAGCTGTGGCTTGGTTGTGCTGTAAACTCCAGGTGTGCTGGGAAGAGCCAGCATCCCAAGTGCAAGACGCACCAATCTCCCTGCTTACACCAGCCAGTCCAAGGGCAAGGTGTAGCACTCGCATGCCTATTTTACAGCAGCTGTAAAATGAAGTTACGACACACGTCTGCTGTAGGATCTACACCAGGAAACAGTTCTAGCAATGCAAAGTTCTACTGAAATTGCATCTAATTTGGTCTAAATTGGCTCTGTTTTGCAGACAGGATATTCAGAAATACATGAATATTTTGATGGCTTGGTTAATCATCTGTCAGTGATGAGTACTTGCCTCCGAATGTGACACCTCATCTAGCTTCTCAGTCACTGCACCATTTAGCTTGTTTAGCACATTCTGCTGGGAAAGGATATCTTACCAATTTCTGTAACTCTTGGAGTTTACAGAGGGGTCAAAAAACTTTTTTTTCCTCTGAATGTGAAAATATTTATTCCTGATTGTAACAGATTTCGCAAAACAAAGATATAAATGAATTTTCAGTATGTGAGAGACCATGTATTTTTATTGTATTAATAATCTCTAATACCACATAGTTTTTATATGGATATTTCCGTCTGTCAACTGAAACCATTTTTATAAAGGATTCTAATATTTTCTTTCTTTACCTTTACAGTGGTAAAGTAGTGTGAAAGCTGGGACTAGAACCATGTCCCTTGAGCCTGATTCTTTACACCCAGGCAATACTTCTGAATGCCTTTTACCTTAAGATCATGGAAAGTCTTAGTCCTTCAGGGTAAATTCTGAGTCTTGCAGATGGAGAAAATGACATAGTCTGGTTTGCACTCAGCAAACAGGCCTGTGGAAGACGGAGGAGGGAAGGGGCTTGGCAGGGCTCGGCGTGGCTGGCAGCGGGCTGTGCTGCCGCCGGCGCCGCTGGCCTTGCTCCGACTGAGCCCTGTGCCCGTCAGCACCGGGAGACATCAGAAAGGAACGAGGGAGCGAAACAGTGAACAAGTAAAATGCTAAATGTTAGCAAGCTGGTTCATTACGATGGTGGTCCCATCTATTGACACCCGTTACAGCTTGCATAAGACAAGTGGAAGGAAGAGTGAACATTTCATGGCAGTAATATGTGTATATATGGCATATATGTGTATGTATATGTGTTACATATGTTATATATATATGTGGTATATGTGGTAGTCTTAGGATATAGATTTCTCATACCTCAGATCTAACAGGAAACCGAAGTTGGCTGTTCACCTTAGAGCTGGGCTGGCTAAGCCCGACCTCAGTATATTCTGTTACCCAGGTCCAGCGCTGGAAGTCCGGTTTCTGCCTTGCCCCTCTCCCAAGGTAGTAGGTGCTGTGGCGGGTGGCTCCCCTCTATTGATTGCTTGGCACTGTGTCTCTGTGTTTGTTTTGTTTTGTGTTTGTTCAGCTCCCTAGGACGTTGATTAGATCTTGCTCCTTTACCTGACTGCTGAATTTCACAAAGCTTGTAGGAGCTTAATTATATTTGAGACCGACACGTATATGCCAATTTAGCTGAAATGGTCCAATGATCCCCAAAAGTACTTAGGGGTAGATGTTCAGATAAGCAGATAGATCATCCTAACCTTATTTTCTTAGGAGAATTACCTTTCTGTTGCAGCTAGGGAAGTGACACCTCAGGCAAGCAAGCAGAATAATTTACATTAAGAATATCCCAAAGTCGTAAAGGCTCAAAAGAGCTGTTTGTAAGAATGTAGAAAGAAATAGAAGAGGTAACAACACATGAAAGGACAGAAAATTTAGGTAAATAGATGTAAATAGAAATGTAGTTTAAGGTTGTGCACATGTGAATATTTAAAGCAGTCTGCATGATATTTAAACATGTTAATAGGACGCTGACATTCCCCACTGACGAGCACAGAACAGTTCTGCATTATAGTGACTGATGGGAGTGGAAATTCAAAGACAGGCCCTGGCAGCCTGTTGTTTGAGCAGAGATACTGGGACAGTATTTTCACTGCAGGGCACTAAAGCTGATCTGATACTGGACAGCAAGGTTTACAGCAGCAATCCTAAGCAAGTTTCTTAGCTAAAATGGAACGCGACTTGTTATGGTTGGGCTTCAGAGACCCAGGCTCAGAGTACCACCCCGCCCAACTCTTTATCGGGTTTAAGCATTTTTATAGCTAAATAAAATTTCTACCATTCTATTAAATACTAAAGCAGTTATTTTCAACCTTTTTCTGATTTTTCAGATGGAATTTTATAGTAGAAAAATAATTCTAATAACAAAGAAAAGTAAGGCTACTGTTATTTCCTGTGGATAAACTATCTAAAAGTATGGGTCAAAATCCAGTAGGGATATAAACTTTCAGTATTAATCTTAGAAGATAGATGCCTTCTAACTGTAATTAGAAAAAACAAATATTATTTCTTAATAACTTCATTACCTAATAACTTCATTACCAAGTGTTTTAATACAACACTTTCATAACTCCCTTAGTCACAGGATACTGTTAGTCTGTACTATTTGTCTGGTTTGTCCTGTTAAGTCTGATTCCAGTTGCTGTCTGAATGTCCAATGTCCCTTAAATTTCCTACTTGTTGTGCAAGCCCAGGCCGTCCA